ATTAACTTACAATATAAATACAAGTAACATTTGGTAATAATAAATAAACCAATATAAAATAAAAGTTCATATTTACATAATATCAAATAAAACAATATTATATTAAACAATGTAATTATACTGGAGATAAATAGAGATTACTACCAAGGTAATATAATATCGACATGGCTACAGGTTTCCATGTTTTGTCTGCTTTAATTAAGTTATCTTGTCACTTACTATTTAAGCTCTTAGCCAGTTTGATATTTCGTTCCCACTGCGTCTTATAAGCAGCTTTGAGTATATGAAAGAGAACGTCTCTGTGTAACCCATGCTCTCTGAATAGGGAACGAGACGCTGCGTTCGCTGCCAAATATCTCGTGCTGCCGACAAGCTTCCTTTTTTGGCAGAGAACTCTGAGGAGCAGATGATGCGCGCGCTAATATAATATGACGACGTGAGCGTCAACACGGCACGAATGGTGATTCTTCTATATCCATAGACAATCGTTATTCTGACACGTAATTTTACACGTGAAATGCCAAACATTTCACGTGTACATTTCACGTGTGTTTAATCTCCTCGCTATCAGCAGACGTTCCGGGAGTCTCCCGCATATTGATAACTGCTCCCGGATGATCGCAAATTAGTTCAAATCTCCCGGAATCTAAGACAAAGAGAAGTCACTGTCTGTCCCACGAGCTTATGCGACGAGTCTGTTGACGAGGAAAGTCCTGGCCTGCCCCACGAGTCCACCCAGGGAGGGAGGTACTTACCTGAAGATCGGAACCATACCTACCAGGAATCCCTCCTCCTCATCCCTGTCTCTATCCCCTTTTAAATGTAATAAAAACGTACCTTTTAACCCCACTTCGGTTGTCCGCCTCTTGGTGTCCTCTGGTGTCTGCTCCTCCAGAGTGTGGTAAATAACCCTTGGCCTTAACCCCGGTGACATATGGACAAAGGATTACATGAAAGGAATGGATTAAATAAGGAGTTTAGAAGACAGCAAAAAAGCAGGAACAGAATGGAATATCTAAAAGAAGCAACAGTGGTCATGGATACTGGGCAATAAGGATATTGTTGAGGATTTTATCAAAGGAGTAACAGAGAAAGTGGACGTTGGAAAATTACTGGCAGTGAGGCCTAAACATGGCTTTAAGTATGAACTGACAATGACTGGTGTTGATGTCTGTGATATATTAATGGTTTGGAAATTAAAGCACAACTCTGCGAAGTAAGGAGGTAAGAGGCAAAAGAATTTACAGTTTCTTTCCTTCACCTGCCTGCGTATGTTGAGGATAAAACAATTGAGGACAAACTGAAAGCATGGGTTGTCACACCCATAGCAAAACTGAAGAGGAGGCTATATCCGAGGACATCGATTGCAGACGGCACAAGGAATGTCAAAGCCACTAGATGGTGCTCGACATGTAATTTTCACGTCCAGCGTCCCCAGAGGCCACAAGCTCCGCAGCACTTTCGCAAATTAAAGTCAACAAACAGTCAACCGGTCAGCCTCCCGTGTCTTTAGATTGTGTGTGCTTGTGCTTTTACTGTCTATAGTGCTTGCAGTGTATGAGGCGGGCCGGGCAACCTTGCCGCGCTTGATTCCCTCATAGCAGCCGGCTGAGAGAGAGCAAGCGGGGTGATCCCCGTGGGGATTATCATGTCTGTGAGTGAATGTGGGACAGCGGACACATTCACTGCACTGAAAACACCGTCGGCCAGAGCTGACTGTAACGTTATGTGTGTTGGTTTATTTTTACAGAAACCGTGGGACATGTGGTGTGTAATGTTAGTGTTGTGGGTACTACTGAGTCGTGGGCACGTTCACTACATTTAATGTAACGTTAACGTTATATTTGACATGAGCCGATTTTATTAGTGCGAGCCCTGCACTGAGGCGGGCTGTGTTTGTGTGTAGAAATGAACACTGGGCTGTGTGCATTTTATTACACTCATAACACCATCGGCTGTGGCCGGAATACCAGAAAATACTACACTGCTTATATGAATTTATCTGGGTTACCTTAGAAACGGCATTTGTGTGCAGGCAAGCGTCCGCATCGGTCGAGCACTCTTCCTCCTCCGTTAGCTCACGCCAGCGAGCGAAGCGAAAGCTGGACCAATGTGTTAATCCTCGTCCTGGCTTTTAATTTGTTACTCTCCCCTTTTCTTTTAATTTGTTACTCTCCCCTTTTCTTTTAATTTGTTACTCTCCCCTTTTCTTTTTTAGTTTCCTCTGATAAAACCGTTGCCTTCTTCCTTGTAGCTGTTGTTCGGCATGACGAAAACATACAGACGGCAATCAAACGCGAGTTGAGCACTAACGTTAGATTCTGAGGAAGTTGTGGGTGGTGGGGGAAGTGACGTATGCCGTAAAGCGGTCGAATTTTGTAGTTCTTTTTGTGCTCGGGTTCCTATACCCGAAACCCGAAGATACAAAGTGCAAGTAAAAGCGATACAGACACCTCCAGGAGACGGCAGACCTCATTCAACCTATTGTAAGTCGATCTACCATCTCAATGGGTTTTGGTAATATATTATAAAGGTTGAAGAGTTCCACAGTGTGGCTTTAAAAAATATATTAAAGGGGTGATGAACTGAGAAATCTAATTTTCCTTGAGCTTTTGACATCTAAGAGGTCATCATATTATAAGAATATCCTGTAAGTTTCAGAACTGAAACGTCCTTGTTAGTCCAATAAAAGCTTTTATTGACACCAGGCTCAGCAAACGACTCGTTTTTCAAAGTGGGGAACTGTGATGTCAAAAAGGAAAAAACACCACCCCCACAGAAGATGATCAACGCCTACTTCAACACGGCCGGTTTAGAACCGCCCGCTGATTCGCACATTACACACATAGCTAAATAATATAGGCCTACCAGAGTGAAACTCATTATAATATGCAAAACTGTTATCCACTCACAGCAGTGGGTGTTTACTTTCAAGTCTTCAATGCGAGACGCCCATAAAAACCGAGCGTTTTTGAGCTGGGATCAAAACTAGAAAATAGCCTATTACTTATTCATTTGAATGTTTTTTAATGTAAAAACCAAGCGAACGTCATAAGTTGACCTCAGACAACAATATAAAAAAATGAAAAAGCCAGTTCATGACCCCTTTAATTTAATTAAACTGCATGACTGCAGACCAAGAGGTCCCCGGTTCAAATCCAGGTGCTCCTTTATCTTGTCCAAATCTGAATGTGGTCTTTGGTCCTGTTATGCTAGTCAAACACTACTTGACGGGTTCAAACTGTTTTTTTTTTTTTTTTTTTTTTTTTTTTTGGTTTTTGGCCATCTTTAGCAAATCCCAAAAGATTTATCTGATCCTATAGGCTAAAATCTGAAGTCTTTCTTCGTTATTTTGACACGTTCACCAGTTACGTCTGACGAAATTCTGGTCGTTTTTAAATCTTATGTCAGAAGATTTGACTCGCAGTCCTGCAGTGTGAATTATTGTATGTGTCAAATTTTCTGTTTTTCAAGAAAAGCATGACCAAAATTAACATTAAAGATTTCTTTGTAGCCACCATTCAATCCTGTGTGTAATGCAGCTCACTGTGAACGTACATATTATTGATTGATGATGTAAAACTCCAGACAAGTTTTCTTGCATGCGTTCTTTTTAGCGTCTTTTGACTGTCGTGTCTGACATTAATGACTGAGATATTACAGTGTAACATGGCTTACATCGGGAATCATGTTCATACAGTCTAACAAGAAACAATTGTAAAGGACTATTATAAAACATACAGTGTGCACCCAGCTTTAGTTAAGGAAACAAGTTAATTTTATTATATTTTTCAAATAAAAGGTTTTAAGAGGTATTGAACAGTCATTGTAGGTATAGTTCAGTGGTTTGAATGCAGATAAAGAGGTCCTAGTTCAAATCTATTAGATCAAGAGTCATGATTCTTGTATGCTGTTAGGTACTGTATGATATGAACATGTATTTTCGCCCACAGGACTGCCGCATACTGGATATTTTTCCCTTTTCACACCATTCTTTGTAAACCCTAGAAATGGTTGTGCGTGAAAATACCAGTAACTGAGCAGATTGTGAAATACTCAGACCGGCCCGTCTTACACCAACAACCATGCCACGCTCAAAATTGCTTAAATCACCTTTCTTTCCCATTCTGACATTCAGTTTGGAGTTCAGGAGATTGTCTTGACCAGGACCACACCCCTAAATGCATTGAAGCAACTGTCATGAGATTGGTTGATTAGATCATTGCATTAATGAGAAATTGAACAGGTGTTCATACGGTGAGTGTGAGTGTATATGAACATGTATGTCCAAAAGATTGTAAGTTTGATCATATTAAAAAAAAAAAGATATGTTGTGTTTTTTATGCAAATTATACGTCATTTCATTATGCACCATTTGCCCATGTTAACAAACAATTCCAAAAAAAAAAAAAAGAAAAAAAAAAAAAAACTTGTAATACATTTTTTGTTTGTCTTCTTGATGTCAGTAATTTTCATGGGCATATCTAAAAGTTAAAAATGTTACCCTTTCACAGTATGAAAAGGGAATATTTGGGTCTTTTTCGAAAATTTCCCCTAATGGGATTCTTTTTTATTTTTTGTGCCTTACTCAGGACATATTGAGGATACAAAATCAGTTGAATTTGCTTCTGTTGCAATTTGTTCTAGGTTGACCCCCATCTTGGCTTAAAGACTAATAGCCTATTCGAAATTAGAAAATATATTCGAAATATATTTTTAACAAAAATAATTACACCAGTAGATATGCAAGCCGCATTCTCTTCATCTTTTGGTTTAAATAGCTTACATAATTTGAGAATTTGACTCTCAAATAAAAACAAACGAACAAAAAATGAGCTGACTACTGTGGTAGTACATTATACTGTCTCATGTATGCATAGAAGCGAAATGATGATAAGAAAGTATCTCTAAACGTCGAAATGACACCGGTTAAAGCAAAGAATCCTATTGGCCGAGAGAAAGGGATACGTTTCTCGATTGGTCCATCGCCCCCACCGCTTTGACTGACTCCGTCCTTTCTGTTCATCAAGTTTGGTTGAGTTGTTTGAGAGTTCATGTCAGACTTAAAGAAGCGTGAAAAACTCGCGCCTTCACACACATTATGAGCGGTGAGTTCATTTTATCCTATCTGAGTGTGTTCATCCGCTTTAATCATCATGCAGGACTACTGTTACTTGTTGGATTTTAATGCGATATTTATGTTGTCAAACACTGACATCGATTCGCCCAAAACACTAAATCATGTTGTTCGTAAGTGATCGTAAACAGCAACGGTCACCTCGTAATAGCTAACGTTAACGTTAATAGGAGCCATCTGAATGAGTTCGTCGTGAATTTGTTTGATTTTGTTTTTGTTTGTTTTTTTCTAGAGTGAGTGACCGTAATCTTGAGCTTGTTTGCTAAGTTTGGAAGTTGAGTTGATCATTACAGCGACCTACATTGAGTTATATAACACGACCGATGATAAACAACGCTTAAAAGATCACGAAAGCTTGCGAATGGACGTTAGCGATTATGATGACGATGTTGATGACGATTTGGCGAATGATGAGTATTAAAGTTGTTTTAGTAAAGGAATATGGCCACTGGACGCGTGTCAGGACTCGTCGGCTAACTCATCGGATGATCCGTGAACACACTAGATAAAGACATCCAGCTTTGATGAGTTTGCACTGAGTTTGTTTATGTTGACTGTGTGTCAGATCAACAGCAGAATCAAATGGCCGCGCTGGTGGAGAACGACACGAGCTTCATTCAGAAGAGAAACTCCAGCACGTCTCAAGTAAGTGCTCAAGTTTGCCCTCGTGTAAGTTATTTCACAGCGTTATAACTGTTCACTTTGGAGTCAGCTGTGTTTGCTCGCTTGTTATAAATGTGCCTGTCCTCTATATCATGCAGTTTGTAAAGTTTGTAAATGAAGGCAGGTCTGATTGTGAAGTAATGCATTTCTGCCACTTCCTGCTGTGAAGGTTCACGGTGGATTGTGGGAGGGAAATGGGTGGATCAGGAAGAGAATCTACTTTTAAAACTGTCACTGAAAGTAAAACAAAAGCAATGCTTCTGCTCTGTGATTGGAGGTGAGATCAGGGACCCGTTCTTGGTACGTTGCTTTGAGACATCCAAGATAATATCATCGTGCTCATCATGATCCGGCTAATTGGGTTCTTCGAACACTCCTGCCGGTTATGATTAGTATAACGTTAGCTGGATTGAGTCATCTGAGATAACTGCGCGTTCTCGCGTTGGTTTAAAAGGGGACATGTATCAATAGCAGAAACAGTGATCAGCAACACTGCTATTGGCTGTTCAGCATGGCCAAAGAACACGCCCAGTTTTTCTCCCAAGCAGAGCAAGCGCTTTTAATGGAAGGTTATACCGAATTTCAGTCTTTAATTAAAATGCCAGGGAACACCTCAAGGCGTGCAAAAGCCAGGAGAGAGTGCTGGCAAAAGTAGAAGACAAATTAAATGCGTTTGTGGTGGCCATGTTAGATGTTTTAATAACTTATTATTATTTTATTTTCATAATTTCATAATTACTTTGTTCATTGTAATGTCAGAGTCACCACACTATAATAATGGACATGGTGAAAGTGAAGTACAATTTAATTGATGGCCTTTAATTGATTTATACTTGCCTATGCCTATTATTTCTGACAGGAGTCCACATGTACAGAAAGGCCTACAGAACAGTCTGCACACAGCAGTCATACAGGGGTGGGCAGTGTAGGGACAACTTTTCCTTTTTATTTGTTGCACGAGGCATGTTTGACACAAACGACACAGGATGAAATGCGTTCCCTAAATGAGTCTTCAACAGAAAATAGAGTATTTTGAAAACTAAAATCAGGGGGAGAAATATAACTTGACTAAGAAAAAAAATGCACTAGAAATTTCAGAGTAAAATACACTATAACACAGAGTACTATTGCTGACCTTGCATAATATCTCTTTTAAAAAGATGACTGAATAACTGGCTTTTATTTAGAACTATTGAAATAAAACTCTAAGCAAACAGAGTTTTGCAAATTTGTCTTGTCTTTTATTTTAGGCTTAATTATACTTTTTTTGTTTTTCTTTTTCTGATGTTGGCAATGTTGTGTAATCTGGCACATGCAATGTCAGAGGCCCTGTCAGGTGCAACCCTCAGGCTTTTTCAGACCCTGAAATCTTCCTGAAATCTAGTTGGCCAAAGGTCATTTCATTGTGTGCCCTTGTCCTAGAGCTGCATTGTAACTGGTCTGGGGTTTGGGTCAGGGAATGGGGACATAAAACACCTGTCTCCATGCAGGATCCTGTTGTAATCACCTGTATAATGGAAAAATGCAGTTCTCAGCATAAAGCCCCTTTCACACAGCGCGTTGATCCCGGGAAATTGCCAGAACGCCTTCTGTGTGAACGCAAACACGACCCGGGATTGATACCAGGACTGATCCCGGGTTGGGGATCTAGTAACATTGCTGGGATCAGTCCCGGAACACGCGCTGTGTGAACAAAAGCCAGGACCAATGCCGTAAAGGGTGTGTCATTGTGATGACGCTCGTGCCATCGCGCGACTCTGTTGCTCTTAGAAGAAAGTTTGTGTTCGTCATCAACAAAGAAAGGACGAACAAATACCTGCAAACTGGAGCGAAACAGAGACCAGGAGCTCCTCACTAGTGAGATCGCTCACCAGCTTTGTGGAACGGTATGAGCGTGTACATGTTTTCAACGCGTCCGTTATACGCCTCATCCTGACGTCATGTGTCTTCCCGGGATTTTCAACTACCTAATATTGATATAATATTGATCTGTTTGATCTTCAGAAATGCGCTCTCCTCTCTGGAGGAAATATCACCACTCCGCTCACATTCTCTGGTGTGAGACAATGTGCATCTCCTGTTTTCTAATAGTTGATTGACAGCTTTTAGATGCATTATTGGAATCGACACTCTCTGGTTGAACGTGTCACCATGTGTGATGCCGTCTGAGCCTTGTCTCTAATTAGTCACGCGGTAATACCATATACCGCGGTAAAATAGGGAGGAGGTTTGACGGTATCAAAATTTGGATACCGCCCAAGCCTACTACTGATGCAGCCTCTGCAGTGCAGAAAAAATTGATTTGTTGATGCCGATTTCAATTAATTGGCAAGCAACACGCTTATTAAGGCTGTGGGATCGTGATAGTATTTTTTTTATATCCCTAATGTCTTATTCAAACAAAATTTATGGATTTTTTTATTTTATTTCTTTTTTTTTTTGTTAAAAAAAAAGTTTGCAATCAAATAAGCTACCTACACTGCATAAAGAATCTCTTATTTAAATGGTTTCTCCACTATTTGTGTACGTGCAGAACTCAATGAGTTTGTGCTGCACCAAAACTCCAGCAGTTTGAGTGGATTCTGACTTCATGTACTCAACAGACAAGTTTTATAAATGTTCGTTGTTGGACTTCAATTTTACCTTGAATTCTTCTTGTTTGAATGTCATTATGATAACGATTATTTTACATTTACAGGTAAAAGAAACAACAATAACATGTTTTCTGCATACAGAATGTTCTTCCTCTGAACATACAACCTTAACACTTGTTTCTTTGCTTTTTGTTTCTCTTTGTCAAAAATTATAGATGCAAATGATATATACCTTCATACCGCCCAGCTCTACATACATGGTTACAACATTTTATTTGTAATTATTGAAGTTCTGTTATTTAAAAAAAAAAAAAAGCTTGAGATGATGATAATATGAATGCATTGTAAATGTATAAATAAACTGAACTAGGTGACTTTGATTTAAAAAAAAAAACATTTTTAAACGGGCAGTAACAATGATCTCCTAAATGGCTCAAAAGCATGTTTACCTCCCCAGGACTCGCAGCAGCCTTCACCTTTAGCGCTGTTAGCAGCCACCTGCAGTCGGATTGATGAAAATGACACTGTGGAACAACAGACACGGCAAAGCCAGGCACAGGACACACAGATCGAGCTCCAGCACCCTCATCTGTCACATGCCTCCAACGGCTGGCACATCATACCCGCAAGCTCTCAGCCTGCCACAAGCGCAACCTCTCCCTCGGAGGACAAAAGCAGACAGACTGGAGCTGTGGTGCAACCCCAGTACGTGATGGCGTCCTCACAAAACCTACAAAGTCAACAGGTGCTCACTGCCCTCTCTGGTGTGATGCCAAATATCCAGTATCAGGTGATCCCACAGTTTCAGACTGTAGATGGACAGCAGCTCCAGTTTGCTCAGACAGCTCAGGATGCGTCAAACCCAGCATCTGGGCAGTTTCAGCTCGTGTCCTCGCCTAATGGTAACCAGCAGCTCATCGCTGCCCCAGCTAACCGAGGTACTGGTGCTGGAAACATATTAACCGTCCCGGGCCTTTTCCAGCAAGCAATACCTCTGCAGAACATCAGTCTGGGTGGGGCTGTGCTTCCCAATCAGACACAGTTCCTCACCAACATGCCTGTTCCTCTGAATGCTAACATCACTCTTCTCCCGGTTAGCTCTGGTACACCTGTCGGACCTGGAGGTGATCCGAACGCTGGAGGAAATTTAGGAACATCTCAACAGCTTCTCCAGTGCACGTCGTCTACAACTCCAGTGGAGTATTGCACTACTTCTACCAGCACACGAACGGCCACGTCAGGCATCGTAACACTAACCCAGAGTAGCAAAGGAGACGCGGGAAAGCCCTTCCAGAACACGTCCGCCGCATCTGATAATCGGGACGGGCAGAAACAGTGTCAGGCACAGATCCTCATTCAGCCACAGCAGGTCCTGCAGACCGTTCAGCCCGGCTCGGTCTCGGCCGGAGGTCAGATGTTCGCAACACAGACTTTGTCTCAGGATGGAGTGCAAAATGTTCAGATCCAGACCATCGCAAACGGAAGCCCCATCCTGATCCGTACCGTGGGTCCGAATGGCCAGGTTAGCTGGCAGACCCTTCAGTTGCAGAGCCCCGCTAACGCCCAGATCACACTGGCTCAGGCTGGCGCACCAGGAACCATGCAGCTCTCTGGTCTTCAGACCATCAACTTGAACACGCTTGGCAGTGCAGGACTGATGCATCAGCTGCAAGGGGTTCCCATCACCATCTCCAATACAACAGGTTAGTCTGCTTTGCTTTTATTCGATTCTTTTTAGGGCTGCACGATTAATCGCAATGAAACCGCACACGATTTGGCGAAGGATGCGATTTATTTTATGCACAGCTTGTCCGTGTAGTACAGCTGATCAGTAGTAAATGCTGCTCCATCTGAACCCCAGAGGTCGTCTCACACACACACATATGCCAAATCATCTGAACACCAGAGGGCGTCTCTCTCTCTCACACGGCTCACACACACACACACACACCAAATTTGCCCCGCAGAAGTACAATAGTGCACATCATTCCATGAAATCTCTGTGGGCATCGTACTAGCGCAGAAGATATAAATGCTTCAATTTATTTACTAAATGTTGTCTTGTTGGACAAAGAGGTTCATAAATGCGTCTTATGTTTTGAAAGATGTTTGACGCGTGATGCTTGTGTAAATGCACATTATAAGTGACTCAAACTCGCAGTGCTTTCAGATGGAGCAGCGTTTTACAGAGCCGTACGTCACTGACTAGCTGAGCATAAAAAAATAATCGCAATCACATGAAATCGCACTTTGGATTGCAAACCGATTTGGATTAAACTCGTGCAGCCCTAATTCTTATGACAGGAACGCTGAGTGTCATTAAAATATTACATTTCATTAAAAAGTCTAATATACAATTATAAAAAAGCTAATTTGAAATAAGACATAAATAATGTGTTAATTAAAATGTGGTTTCGGTTTTCAGCCAAGTGCATCCAAAATTTTTCGTTTCGACCCAGAATGTTTTATTTTTCATTTAGGGGTGCAGCCTAGCAGAGGTCATGTTAGACTTCCGCTTTGTCCGTCATTTTGACGTACAGTAATCTGTTGTTACCAGTCATTTTAATTTTCATATTTTAATGATTATAAGAAATTGAATAGGCTCTGTTCACATTTTCAGTTTTATTCACAAACTTACAGGACAATAGGGTAGATTATGCATTTATTTATTTATTAAGAGAAAGTTGAACAGAGACTGTGGGTTTTCAGGTTCCATTTTGAATGTTTGTCCAATAAATAGCAAAAAGGTTTTTGATTGTTACTTTTGATACGAAACAAAGTCCCAGCTTTTAAATTCTGTCAATTTCATCACAAAATTCAAACAATACCATTGTGGCGGTAATGTGGTGTGAGATATCACTTTGGCACCTCAGTTCAAGCGAAGCAGAACGCAAGTATCCTTTCCTTTTTACTACGTTATAGAACAAAAAAAAACATGAATGTACATCAGAAAATACATTGAAGTTTAACTTGCCGAAATCCGTATCATGTCTCTTGTGTAGAGTTTCAGCCGAAGAAAGACGTCAATAAACAGTGTGTAAACAATGTCTCACAACTCAGAAAAGCCGTTCGCTGTGTTTGTCATGTGTAGAGGTGTAATTTTTGCCGTTTGTTCCGCAGGTGAGGTGAGTGGTGCGGGTGGAGACGGTCTGGAGGACAACAATGTGATGGATGAGAATGTGGAGGGCAGCCCAACCGCCACCAGCAGACGCACGCGCAGGGAAGCCTGCACCTGCCCGTACTGCAAAGACGGAGAGGGACGGTACGGCTCAAGCTAACACAATACTTTTATAACATCAAAGGCTTGTTCGCTTGCTCAAAGTTTCAACATCCACTCCAATGGACCCTTCACTGGGAGTTTGATTGACAGGCAATCTGACTTATCATAATCGGCCATTTTTGTCTGACAAAGCAGTCACAGGGTTCCCGCAGATCCTTAAAAAAGCCTTAAAGTCTTAAATTCGATTTTTTTTTTTTTAATAAGACCATAAAAAGTCTTATTTTTTCTTATGCAATGTCTTAAATTTTACTTTTAAGTCAAATGACACTTCGACTTAGTTATATCTAAATGTGTTCCAAATTAAAACTGTCTAATTTGCGTACATATAATCTTTTTATTATTCTATCTTTGTGGATTTGCTTGTTCGCGTGACAATTCGCATCACATTCGCGGCAGAATAACGTCTGTGTCCACCTGCACGCGAAAGAAGAAGAAAGTTGGGAAATGTCAGTTCAGTCGTAAGTTAAAGGGTTAGTTCACCCAAAAATGAAAATTAAGTCATTAATTACTCACCCCCATGCTGTACCAACCCCGTAAGACCTTCGATCATCTTCGGAACACAAATGAAGATATTTTTGATTAAATTTGAGAGCTGTATAACTACCACATAGGCTCCTAAGATAATGACACTTGACAGCCCAGAAAGTCAATGAAGAAAATGTTTAAATATTCCAAGTGACTACAGTGGCTCAACTATATGTTTATCAAGCGACAAGAATACTTTTTGTGCGAAAAAAACAAACAAAAATAACGACTTCATTCGACTATTCCTTTTCTTCCTTGTTGGCCTGAAACGAGACTTCAATAGATTTCCACGACGCATGCGTGAGAATTGCGATCTCCTTCAACTACTTCAGTTCAGTTCTCGCGCATGCGTCGTGGAAATGTAAAGTTTGTAATGTAATGTAGTGTTGAAATGTAGTTTCAAATGTAAAGTAAAACGTTAAAATTAGAAATCATTTCATATTTAAATATTGAATATTGATTTAAAAAAAAAATCTCATAGCTTTATTTAAGGTGGCAAATATTGCACATTAATTAATCATTTCTGTCACTGCTGTGAACCGACCACTGCATAGAATATTAAAAATATGAATATCTTCGCGAGTCTGCTGTCAATCACAGGCCTAAACCAGCCATGGCACCAGCACAAAAACACAATCAGTAAAATATCATCTAATTATTATCAACAAAACGTTGAAAATATCGAGATATCTTTTTGTCAATATTGCACTCCCCTAATGTATGGTATTAATTTTGATTTCTTTAGGTCTTAAAGAGGTCTTAAAAAGCCTTAAATTCCTTTTTAAAAAGTGTGCAGGAACCCTGAGTGAGGAGAGTTTGTAGATTAACATTGGAGGATTTGAACTAAAAAACAATACTGATGTCTTTCCACGGTTAAACACATTCCTTCTTCTGCTCATCCATGTTTATTTGATGCTATAAATTAACTAGAAGGGCGAGGTGATCGTTTCACGAGGCTCTAGCGTTCTGTCAGAGACATTAATTAAACAGCCTCAAGATGGTATTTATTATTTAAATTTCATTTAAAAAAATTACCAAATTTGAAAGTTGAGATTTTGTTTCGTATCAAAAGTAAGCTGGTCTGTCAGCGCATTGTCAGAGTTTCTAAATGTGTCCCTTTTTTTCTCTCTTATTGCAGCAATGACCCCACTAAGAAGAAACAGCACATCTGCCATATTCCTGGGTGTGCCAAGGTTTATGGGAAAACATCTCATCTACGGGCACACTTACGCTGGCACACAGGAGAGAGACCCTTCGTTTGTTCCTGGTCCTTCTGTGGGAAACGTTTCACACGCTCTGATGAGCTGCAGAGACACAAGAGGACACACACAGGTGAGTTTAGGATGATCCTGACACTGCAAACCTATTTTTGAATGTTTAACTGAGCGTGGAATACTGGACGGTATGACAATATATATTGATTTACAATATATATCGTCAATTAACTTTCCCCACCAGGGTTTACTGAAAAAGTGCCCGCCAAAATTTTCTGATCTTGCTCAGAAAACTTCTGCAGCCCCTAAAATACATTCTTGTATTAATATGTAAATCTCTTTCTGGTTTATGTGGATTTTTGCTTGTTATTGGATTCAGAGATGCTGTGTTATTTCAGAAGATCTGTCACAGCGTCCCCTGCTGTATGATTGCTGGAAAAACGTATTAATGTCACATAAATGACAGAAAATCTCATCAATGGCATGCTAAAGTAAATGGAAATTGGGCTGTATTGTTACTGTATGTAAATATAGCCTTGGAGCTTGTAGGACAACTACATTTTTATGCATTAGTGCAATAAAGAAACGGGGAATATGCTTAATATTAAAAATAGTCATTTAGAAAAACTCATTAAGCCATGAAAGAAATAGTTTCTGTACTAGCACACTCTCTGACAGGCATATGTGTCCTTCATAACCTAGCTGCCTGAACGGTCAAATACACACAATATTATCAATGTCCATCTTGACGAGTATTCAAATAATAAAATTCTTTATTAGGTTAAAAGAAAAAAACTTAATCTGTGCTGTGCATTCTTAACATGGAAATGCTGTATAGCTGGAAATGTAAACTACCAGTCATTTTGGAATAATTACGTTTTTGCATGCATTTATTCAAAAATACAGTAATACTTTGAAATATTACAATTTGACACACAAAATTCTGTCATTATTTAAAATGTAAACTTGTTAAATGTGTTTTGCGGCTTTTTGTTTGAGCTTGGCTCATGATGTGATCTAGTTTATGGAGTTAATAAAGTAGGCAGGTGTGGATCGTGATATTGTCTTGATTTAAATATAAAGCATTTGCATTTATCTTGGTTTATTATGGGCTTGTTTTCTGGCAACACGAATGAGCCGAGGCTTGTGCTGCTTTCCTTCTGGTTTTCCTACACAGCACGCGTACAGAACAGAGACGCATCTCTGATGTGCATTTAAATACGTTAACAACTAGTTATTCTACAGTTTGGAGCTGTAGACCTCTAATGGGTATTTTTGGTAATAAGTTTGTGACTACCTGAATTTTTCAAGAGTTAATTCGGGTCTAGAATGCAATTGTCACACTTGTAAATGACTAAACTTTGTGTACAGAATGAGATTAAGCTTTAAAAGGTGAACTGGCATCAGGGATTAAAAAAAGTGTATAATGAGTCGTTTGGCAGCTTGGTATCAATAAAAGATGATTTTAAATGCCATCAAGGAACTTTAGAGTTCTGAAACTTTCAGTATTTTTTATAGCAAAACGACCTCTTATATAAATGCATATATACAGTCAATTAAAAAAATAATTCATACACCAGATATAATTTTTTTAATATTTATTACTACTGGCTGCCAGGACACTATAGTTAATTCATGTAAGTGAGGAGAGCAAAATAAAGTTAACTGTCAGTGACATTATATCAAAACATTCTTCATACAGTGACTACCAGTAAAATCTATAAAGAATTAGGACCAAAAATTATTCAGTCACTTTGAACTGATCATGTTTTGATGAGTGTGTTGTTTTTTTTGTTTTGTTTTTTAACTGTTAATGCTCCTTTTTAAACCACACACTGAACAACAGTAAGCATTGCTTGGTAATTGGTTAAGCTAAATTGGTTTTATCTAATTTAACAGTGGACAGATATTTAACTTAATTCATTTGTGAGAGTCTAACAGAAGGACGGACAAAACCAGTGAAATATTAACTGATTTGATAGCTCTGTGCATTTACTAAACCATAGTGAATAAACTGATAATATGAGAAATATTGAAGGTGTCTGAATAAATGTTGGTTTGACTATATTCCTGACCCCTTTAATGCTTTTATTTCACAAATTAAGACTCAAGCCTGGCAAAAACCATGGTTTTGCACAGGTTCTTGTTATAAACAAGGTGATTCAAAACCGTTAAACTTGCCCTTTGTCTGTTTACAGGTGAAAAGAAGTTCTCGTGCCCGGAGTGTCCCAAGCGGTTCATGCGCAGCGATCACTTGTCCAAGCACATCAAGACCCATATGAATAAGAAAGGATCTGCTGGCGCAGTGAGCGCCGCTGACACCACCGTCACGACCGCGAGCTCGGCTGACAGCTGTGCCACAGGTGACATGACCACCGACCAGCAGACGCTAGTTACTATGGGCACGCTGTCATCCGAGGGGTTCACGCGGTTAGAGCCCAGTGGCATCAATGTCATGCAAGTCACAGATCTGCACTCCATCAATCTGAATAGCAATGGCTATTAAGCACTTTGGGTGGCGCGAGTGCAGTGAGCATGTTGAGAGATCTGACTGGGAAGAATGAATGCACTGCAGTTTGTAGGCATTAAAACGGCGGTTCAGGCGCGGAGCCTCCAGTGAGCGACAGCCATGAAAAATGGTTTCACAGGGGATAGAAAGAGGTGTGATAGTGCACCTTAAAGGTGCTTGTTTACCTCGTCCTCTCTGAGACTCCAGCCTTTTTTGCATCCCTTCCGTGTATATTCTGAATCCAAGTTTTTTCAGCTTTCTTTTCCCTGGTTTTACCGATTCCCTGAACTGAAATTGTGGTGTGTCACGGTAAGCATCACTCCACAGGTCCACTTAACGTCATGATGTCAGGATATATTGGGTTACAATGCAACAACATAAACAGAAAGATTAAAAAAAAAAACTGTGTGAAAGTGATATCATAGTCATCTTTTTAATCTTTAATACCTTACTTACAAGCCATCATGCTTCCGTGTATTAATCACCGTAAATAAGATAAAAACAAAAAGAATTGAAGCTTTTTGTACATAAGTTATATTTTTTCTAAGTATGGAAAACTGCATATTCTGAAATTACCTTTGTTTTGTGAATGTATGAATTATGCAGTCTTAAATGTCAGCATTTTTATATTATGTAGATGTTCCATAACTTTTTTTTTTTTTGTATTGCTTTAGTTCTTTTGTCTTGATATACAAAACACATTTAAGTTACAGTAAATACATGCAGTTGAGTTGCTTAATGCTAATTGTCCCAGTTTTCTTGGTCACTGTGGTCTTAAACAGTCATGCTTTGTTTATAGGGAAAATGTTAACCAGTTAAAATACAAATGCCTTAAACCCTTTATTTAGAGAGGGCTCTTTTATGAGTTGGAGTTCAAGCCAAAGCTCTTCACTTTCCATTACATGTTAACTCAGGTGAATGTTACTCTTTTGGTGTTAAGCATTCATAATTATTAAATTAAGATGAACTTCATAAAGACTCCTAGCAGTTTTTTAATGCTTGCTTATTAAACGTTTAGTTCTAGTCCTTGATTCTGATTGGTCTATAGCCGTGTTTATTGATAACCACGGCTATAACCACTTCATCCAATGGTTCTTTGTATCACTACACATCACCTCTAGCTAGCAACCGCTCTTATCAACGTAAACTTATGTTTTCTCTATTTGATATTCTTCATTGAAGCTTCTTGTATTGTGTGAGAGAGAGATCGAGTGAGCGAGTTTATTACCTGCATTTTGACATAGCATTTTCATTCAGGTCAGTCCTATGTTCATAATAAAAAAATCCATTTGAATGTCCACTGCGATTTATATTGTCCTTTTAACAGTTAAGGGGTTTGACTTGCGCTGTCAGGCATGGGAAAGCATTTGTCAGTTGTCCGTGTTCAAGTTTCAGTCCTTTCTATATAAAAGTCTTTGCTACTGAGAGACTCACTGATAAAGACAATCTTTGCCGCCATCTAACGGCATAATAATTTGGTGTACTGTTTATGGACCGAGACTATTTTTTTTGTCAGTGGAAGGAAGGCTTTTAGTGATATTACTGAAGCATAACTGCATTCTACATTTGAAAATCCTCCCAGTACAAAGTCTGTTAGTTGCTCCTTTTCCCAGCTAACCTTTGTGCTGGTGATAAGAAGTCGTAATAAAGCTCGGCTGTCTCGGTCAGCGGTGGATGTCCTACTACTGTTTCTCTAGATTTATGCTGTTTTCTAAGCATCTACAGAGAGACAAAACTTGAATGTTTTGTTGACATCCATCACAAAAATTAACATGTATAAGTACTTGTACTATGTACTTGGCTGTCTAGTGCGTCATGAGGCTATTTTGACCAGTGGAGGTTTGTTTCTGTAAAAAAATAATTGCGACTTTTTATCTCACAATTCTCGTTTCTCACAATTGAATTTCTTGCGGTTAATTAAAGGGATTCACCCAAAAATGAAAATCATGAAAATCATTGTCATTTATTCACCCTAAAGTGTCTTCTGTTAAAGACAAAAGAAGAAAAATGGGTAACCAGGTTAGACAGGTTTGGGACAACTTGAGGGTGAGGAAATGATGACAAAATGTTCATTTTTGGGTGAGCTATCCATTTAAGTGCATAATCCGGGTATTTAAAGTGCATGTTTTTTTTCTAAACCCACTAATCATTATCAATGGCCTGAGGCCTCGAATAGTATGTGCAAATCCACATAGACACAGATTTTCCTAAAAATTGGCACCTCCTGAAAGTCTTATGAATCATGTTTACAATAATTGTTTGCAAGTAAAAGTTACAGTTGATAAAGCTAGAGAGAATTGACCATTTGAGCTCACATGTAGTCATTTTATAGCTTCATCTATCGATTCTAAAGCGTATTTATTTATATTACCATTATTTATTTATTCATTTAAACTGTGCGTGAACATTTTTGATAAACTGAAATTGTATGTGTGATCGAGTAATAATGAAATAATAATATCTAAATCATACAAAATTATTATTCTAAATAAACGTTATAAAAGACAGACAAATTTGTCTTTAAAAAAATTGCTGTGTGGTGACCTTTAATTTGGAGTAGGAACAGGAATGGCTTTATCCATGTCTCTTTTAATTTCACAAAGTACTGTTTAACTGGGTAAATTTATGTATAATTTTGAATGATATCACTCCTTAACTGTTCGTAATTAAATATTGATATAGCATCAATCAAACCTTTTTCTGCACTATATTGCCTGTAATTGATTTCAATATGAGTAAATAAGGCAGAGACACATTTTTTTTATTATTATATTATTATTATTGTTTTTTTAATAACACACTTATGGATCTGAGGGCTGTTTCACAAAAGCAGAATTTAGAAATCCAGGATAAGAGATAAAGCTGGGCTTGACCCAGTGTGATCAGTGCATCCTGGCTTTATCAGTTTCACAAAGGCCAAACCAGTCTCAGGAGGAGCGGCTATGTCAAGCCAGGTGTAAGTAATTCAGATAAGTGGGAGTCAACAGCTTTCTTCAACAGACCACACAGTCCATCACAGATTCATTGACGCTACAATGGATAAGTTGCGTGCACCATACTTCAAGTGTTGGGTGTAACTAATTACTAAGTAAATTCCTTGTCCTCTCCTTGTAATTTCATTACTTTTCCTTGAAAATGTAAAGTTAGTGATTACTCTTAATTTATCTGTAATTTATTTACAGTTACTTCTGATGTAATTGAGGTAAAAACTGTGTATAGATCAATCCGATCTCACAGCGATTCGTATGCATTTTATGAGGAATCTAAATATTACGACCGCACTCGTACAAATTCGAATGAATTATTGTAAAAAATGTATGAAAATAAGTGTGAAATGTCATGAGATCAGACATTAAACAGTAGTGGGTTTAACATCAAAATGTAGCCTATTGTCTGATGCTAAAAAGTATGTTTTTATAGCTAATGTAACCTTCTCCACCTTGGTCAGTTTAAGGATAATTAATGCAATTTTATAGTATTTATTTGAAAGAATTAAAACAGATTCATGCCTCTCCTTGTATTATTCAGCTGGTTGATATGGGATTTTGAAAGTAATTAGTAATTAAAAGTAATTAAATAATTTTTAGAGAGAGTAATTAGTACAGTAATCTAATTACACTGTTGAAGAGGTAATTAGTAACTAGTAATTAATTACTTTTTTAGAGTAACTTACCCAACACTGCTGACAGCTGATTAATTTATGTTACACAGGCACAGCTTATTAATGTTCCTCTTTTTTGTTACACATCCCCAGAAAAGCAGTAGGGTAGAGTGGGAGAAAATGCCCCCCAAGGGGCATAGTTTCTCTTCATCATAATTACTACAGTAACATATTTCTGTTCATCAAAGTCTTTATTTTACACTTGAATGCAGTATAACTAGGCCGTAAAATCAAAATATTTGAACAAAACATGAAAAAATTACTTCAAGTGAGCATTAGCTAGCTTGGTGAATGCAATGATGGAAGGTGGTTAGGTGACCCAATGATAAAACACAGTGACTTTTAATGCATTTATGTAATATATTTCACTATTAATATACTAATTTGTTTAATATTATTTAGGGTTTTCTGTTTATCTTGATGATAGTGATGAACAAATACTACATCAATTATAGACCTCGTCTAGAAATCAAAATATTCAAATGTTATAAATTTGGCTATTTTGTACATTCCTGAAATAAATATTAATAGGTTTATATATTATGTTGTTGCATTACTTGTCTTTTACTTTTAGAGATTAAAAACTATGTTCATTTTGCTGTTGATCTATGAAGGAAACTGGTTGGTAAGAAAGGGGGCATTTTACCCCACCTTGGGGGGTGTTTTACCCCACCGCTGGGGCAAAACGCCCCCTTTGTACAAAAATATTTTTAGTCAAAAAACAAATTAATTATGAAGGTTGAGCAATTTTAATATTTGGTAAATAACTCCTGCCAAAGACACTCAAAACTGGGATGGCAATTCTAGTCACATTTATGTTTTGTTTTACAGTAATGTCACATTTTCCTTAAGGGGGGCATTTTCCTCCACTTCTACCCTAACGCTCTTGCAGGTAGTTGTCGGGAAAAGCCAATGGGTCGGACCTGTCCCGAAACACTCTTTCACTTCTGAAATGCCTTCTCAATATAAGTGCTTCATCAGATGTCATCCAAAAATGGGCATGCCATTGTATAGGACGAAACATGTGTTTTTAGAGCTACTTATGTTGCCTGACTTGATTGACAAAACTTTTGCTTCTTTATCAGCCATTTCTCTAATTCCCTCATCACATACAGACCTATCTGTCTTCAAAAACACAATTGAATAGTAACAATGCCCATATGGATAATTATTATTATAGTTAATAATGGTAGGCTACCATCATAATGTTACAATAATAGTAGGCTATACTTGATTGAATGCCAATATGTATCTGAGGTATTTTAATGCAGACTGATAAAATTTCGCTGAACTTATAGATGACAAAACGGAATAACTGACAAAACACATTGGATTCTGATCTGCATGACCGCTGATTGAACAGATAAGGCACGAGGATTGACTAAGCCTGGCTGTTAGCCTGGTCTGGAGCAGGCTAGCTGCACAGAATAAAACGCCATGGTAACTTATGTGCTACTGCTTTCGTGAAACCGAGTCCCGGCTTAATTCAGCCAGGATATCTGGAAAATCCCGGCTTAATCCACTATCTTGGTTTTGTGAAATAGCCCTCTGTTTTGTGACTTAAGGGGAAAACAAATATTACATAAACTTACTGTGGGGACCATTGTTGAATATTGATTATTTCCTGATGTCTACAGCATACACACATTTAAGAAGATATTGCATCAAAAAACTTTTGCATAGTCCCCATTGTGTTACAGGAATCTTATAATGTGCCAAAACTGATTGTGAAAAGAAACCAACTGATCCTCCATATCATGCCATTATCAAAACATTATTTCAAAAACAATGATTTGCGTTTATATAATGTATCCTGTTCCATAATACTTATGTGATGAAAAGTTATGCTTGACCACGATAAAAGGCAGAACATTACCTGATCATCAGACAGGTGACAGGTGAGGTCAGAGTCCGCGCTCGGTGACGTCACGCCGGTGATCATTGAGCGCGCGGAACGCGGAAGCGTGAGTCAGACAGTCAGTCAGAGTCAGTGCACCAAAGTTTCCCGAGGAACAAGGTAGGCTATGTGGTCTAAACGTGTTATTTCGAAATACTAAATGCATGAAGTAGCTTTCGGAAATCGGCTTGCAAATCCTAAAAGAAGCATCTTTCAATGCGTTCCAGAGTTTGTTATTAGCCTATTACATTATTAATGATGTAAGCGGTTTCATGTAAAGTTGTAAACGGAGTGTCAGTGTGTTTTTGGGCTTCTTGACCTCTGAGGAGCTACGGACAGTCACTGTTTGTTCAGGAGGGTTTACGCTTTTATTTTACACACAGCAGACTGTGGGACAGAGTTGTTGTTTGCACAGGGCGTTTTCCAGCTGAGATGAAGTGCTTCTCCTGTCCCGGATGTGTAGAACATGGAGTGCGCAGTTTCGAGGGAGCGAAGGAAGCTGACTGATCTCGCTGAAACTAAAGAAGATTCATTCGAATAAACAGTTACATGGTTTTTTTAAAAAAAAAAAAATAATAAAATTAATTATTAGTTGATTTTAAACTTATTTTACATCTTAAAACAATTTTGAAAATTGATGTTTATTATGTTTTACAACTTTTTTTATTTTTTTATTTTTTGAGATTAGCAGGTTTCCTCTTATCTTAATTACACTGTAAATGGTAACCCTGAGGTGCAAACTATATTAACAAATAACACAACTGCAAATGGAAAGGGCAGAAGCCCCCAACATGACATGCTGGAATATAAATTATAATTTACAAATTTGTTTCCTCAAATTAAAAAAATTCATGTGCACGATTTACTATTCCATTCCCTTGATTTGCTAGCCTATATCATGCACACTATTTATAATTTGAAGGAACAGATTAGTAGGCTAAAATGGTTCACACTATTTAGCAAATCAGGGGAACAGATTAGTAAATCATGCACGCGGGTCATTTGCGGGGCTCTATAAAGTCATATGTAGCCTAAGCAAAATGTACAAATCTTTGAAAGTAATATTGCTGTGTTTATTATAGCCTAAATGAGTTATCAATGCGCGTTATTTTAATGAATGTTCCTGGTAATCTTGAATCAGAATAACTTTACTTCACGCATGTCTCTCTGATGATGTGTTTACTAGCGCAAGGGCGGGGCAACCTGTCACTCACATGAGATCCACCAATAGCAAACCACAACCGTCCAATCAATTCCTCACAGACAAAATCAAGTCCCGCCCTACATTATTTTTTGTTTCAGAAGCCGGTTCATATGTCACTATAGACCTTATTCAGAGCAGCGCCATGACCGGTATGAAAGTGAGGCTGTGAGGGATAGACTTACCGTGTTTCCAATGGCATCCGCTGTAGAAAGCTTAATAAAGCTACTAGATTACTTACAATTTTCCACAGCTTACATTGTCGGGAGTTTTTTGTCAACTTAAATTTCTTGGAAAGATATTTTTCCAGTGTTTCATGAGCAGAACAATCCGAAAACACATTAAATAACAATACAGCCCATTGAAGAGATGCAAGTCTATCCCTCACAGCCTCGCTTTCATTCTCATTAAAAATCAAAGATGGCGCTGCCGTGAATAAGGCGTATAGGGAAGAAATTATCATCTGAACTTTCATCCACATTATAAATGCCAGGTAAAAGAAAGCATGTTGATTAGACGGATACAATCCATGGTGACACTGACACAGTTCCTCATGTGCATTGCATTGAGGTATACATTTTATTTGCACTTCAGGGTAACTATAGTAATAATCTTTTCATCAAACACAGAACTGCAAACGGTTCTGTATGAAATACTAGTGTAAGTGTACAGTAACTACTTCAGGGGATTTTCACTGCTATCGCTTATTATTATTCAATATAACAATTAAAAAAAGTATTTCCTACAAAATGTTAAATGGCATTTATCTGAACTTAATTAAAAACTGCTTGTACTTTTACATCCAATCACCTTTAATCAGTGCTTATGGTTTTGGATGCTCTTATTGAAATGACGGCACAGATCGTGTGCAACTCATAACTCCAGTCTGACTGTTCACATATCCAAACGGTATTTGAACGTTTCTAGTGTTGAATGTTGAATCTTAGGCTGTTTTAGACACCACTGGTGTAATGTATACAGCTATGATAAGCCAAATTTGTAGTAAATATCTGTTCAGCTCACATAACCGGTTTGAGGTGAAAGTGGTAAGTCTAGTGTTGGCTATACATGCATAAACGCACTATTGGAGGTTTACTTTTAAAGTCTGTCTTTCTTTTATTTGTTGCAGATCAGTTGCAGGAGACAAACATGTGGCCGAATCAAGGTGATTTTTGGTTTCACTTTTTCTCTGAGTTAATTCATTAAAGTCCCCCTTTAGTCAATAATTGTATCCATTAAAACTCATATTTGATTGCCAAAATTACATATTTAAACGTTTTTTACTTAAATTCTTCTTGCCTTAAAATAGCTTGAATGCACGTCGACACCCTTGCCTCATTTAGTTCTATGAATATGAAAAAATAAGCCCCGCCTCCACTCACTCCCTCAGCTCAGAGATCCACTGGTTGGCGATCACACGTTGATCTGATTGGTTACAAGGTAGTTTGTGACGTCAGAAACACCAGCAATTTCAAACCGTGTTTTTGAGACTGCAGTTATAATGAGAACACTCAGCAATGCTGTCGACTTATAAATTTACACATGGTTTGTCTTAAAGCATATTAAAAACACCACATAGACATATAAACAAGATTAAAAGCTGGATTTTCAACGCAACATTCATGTCTATGTTGGACCTCAATCCAGGTCACAGTCACAGGTAAGATACTGATAGTCAGTGTAATCCATTTTACCGGCTATTTAAGTGAGTAAAAGAGGAGAGACAAAACAAAAGGAAAATGCCTGAAATGGTCTTATATAATAATAAATACCGTTATATAAATAATGCATGCTAATATAATAAGTAATCATCCATAAAATTTGTTAATTTTTTTTAATCAGTAAGTTTGTCTTAATTAAAAAATTTAAAACGTAAACTAAGATCACTGTTTGTATTCTCATTCATTTACATTCATTTAGCAGGCGCTTTTATCCAAAGCGACTTACAAATGAGAACAATAGAAGCAGTGAAACAAACAATTTGCATGCTATGACCACTAGTTTAATCCATAGCAGTCCATACTCGCAGCAGCACAGCAGGTTTGTCATGCAAGAATAGTTAACGTTGCGTTTAGCAACAGTGAAGACTTTCATGATCTCAAAAAGGCAGATGCTGTGTTTTCACTAATGTGATGATGAGGTTAGCAGGATTCCTATAGTGGTGTCTGCCTTACATCAAACAGAAAACAGAGTTTTGTATTAAAGAGGACATATTAGGCCATTTTACAGTCTTGATTATGTTTTTGGGCTGTTTTCATGCTTGAATGTTCGAAAAACATTATTTTCCGCATATTTTACGTTGTTGTAACTCCTCCCTTCCAGGTCTATCAGTAACACTGGGGTGTGTTTCTTAAAAGTGTTGTTGCCAACTATAGTCACAAATCTAGATTGTCACAAAAACCAGCATAGTTGAACGATTCTGTGTTTCCCGACACCATAGTTCTAACGAACATTCACAAACAGCATCGCAAAGTTGTGTGTTTGAAAAGACAGCTCTCGACCTGCGGTTAGATGCAGAGTTTCATGTTTGCATGGCATAGATCATGCTCTTGTTCATAACAAGTAACTGACATGCAATGCATTCTATATCTTTCATTCCAAATATAAACAATTTCCATTCTACATCTTTTAGTTTGTCGAGAATGTTTGTAAAGTGTGCATGTGCTCTGATGCTCTGGAGTTATACGTAAGTGAAACATCTGGACGTGAAGCTAAACAACAGAGAACAAAAATTGCCTAGTAGTCTTCATTATTTACACACCAATAATATGACATTAATTCGATCTAGAAGGCAAACCATATTTTCTTGTTGATGCATTCTATTTACACTAAGTTAAAATAGCTGCATTTTCTTTGCGATAGGCTGTGTAAATGGTTGTTAGATGCAATTTATTCGTATAAATAGTGGTACATGCTATTTGCACTTCAGTGTTTTTGTACATCTGTTTGCAATAATAACATAGTGTAAATGAAAATATTAATTCAAATTATTGCATAAATGCTGCCTTATTGGGACAATAAAGCCCTCCCTACACCTAACTGATTAACAATTTATTAAACTCACGTTAGGCTTTTTATTTCAAAATGTTGAATATTTGCTTGATTTCTATTCAAATGAAATGCCTTTCAGGTGTGATGTAAAAAGGGAGTGGAGTGAGTTCGGCCAAAGGCGGATTCAACTCGGGTCAATTTGCATAAAAGTTTTCTGCCATCCGATTTGCCTCTACGCTATTGGTACTGTTGACAATCCAGCATTTTCCTTAATTTTGTATGGGCCAACTAGATGTTAGTGTAAATAGTGCAAATAGATATTCTTTTAACTATATTGTTAAACCAACATGCTTCGAACAATGGATGTGGGGCAGTTACATTGCATTTTAGGGAAATAGTGTTGACTAGCTAGTTACTTTCTCCAACAACGCATCGTACTAGCGGTAAAACAACGAGTTATGAGAAACGTCCACTGAGAATTTCCTGTCTCTATGAAGCCCCTCCTTCTGAAAAGCACACTGTGCTCTTATTTTTCGTTGGATCAGTGTGTTGTGATTGGTCGAGCGCTTCGAGTGCTTTGGGAAATGTCCCGCCCCTAACTAACTCAACCAGGCCCTGCTGGTCAATATTGTGATGTGTTTGTTCATGGATGAACAATATTTGTGCTGAGCACAACATTTTGTGTGTGCTTATTTACTGAGAGATAGCAGGAAACCAACATTTAGAAATCAATACATTCATATATCTGAAAGTTTTAAGCAAATTTTAGACTTTAGATTTAACTTTGTTTAATATAAATTTTGGTTGGTGTTCTGGGTCGCCACTTGATTTTCAATGTAAAAAAATGGCCCTAAAGCAAAGCCAGTTGATACTAAACTCATTAGCTCTAAAGTTCTTTGAAAACTTTTTAGTTTTTAGAAACAAGATTTAAAGAAACAGTTTATGCAAACAATTTCCATTAGCTGTCCCATCACTGTTTTACTGTAAAGGATGTTCTTTCTTCCGTAAAACACTATTGAATGGCGGTTTTGCTTGTAGTGAAAGTGGATTATGATTTTTAAATGCCAATGCAGTGACATTTGTATTGACCACCATTATGATACTCTCTTTTTGAGCTTATCCTTTAAAATAATCCATTATCACTGTTTGAACAAACCTGCCTAGGGACATTCTCCTGTTGTGTTTCATGGAAGATTCATGTATCGATAGTCAATACTTACATGCTTACCTCATATCTGGCTTGCTGTGATACGCAGGACCTCCGGTTCAGCCGCCCAATCCTGCCTATCCGGGACCTCCAAACCCTGGATATCCAGGCATGCCTATCCCATCACACCCCGGACAGAACCCTGCCTATCCGCCTGGCATAAACCAGCCCAACACCATCCCGTACATGACCCCGAACCAACAGCCTTTCCCTCCCGGTCCGCAAGGCCCCTATCCTGGACCGGGGCAACAGTACCCCGGCCCCTATCCCGGAGCGGGGCAACCGTTCCCTGGACCTGGGCATCCGGGACCGTATCCCGGAGCTGGGCATCCATGCCCCATCCCGGCTGGAATGAGTGTACCTGGTCATAAGAAACACAAAAAGATGAAAAAGATGAAGAAAGGGCATAAAGCTCATAAAGCTAACAAGGAACATAAACATATGAAACATGGCAAGGTAAGAGGCTGAATGTTCAGTGGATATAAATGTTATTACACCAGTAATGTCTAAACCCTTCTTTGATAATTTAATGGAAAATAGTTTTTTGCCAAAATCTGAACAATAGCCTCTCTCTCTCTCTCTCTCTCTCTCTCATATATATATATATATATATATATATACACACACAGTCTTACTGCAATGAACACATCAAACAAAAATAATTGAAATAGCCCAACACAACTTTTGTGGTTTCCCAAAATTGAACTGAAAATACAACTAAATTATTCTCTAAATTATTCAACCCCCTGAACAGAATCCCTCACAACTGCACAAATCTGCTAAACGGGTGTCGTTTTACTAATCAAAGGCTTCATTAGTTGCACCAGGTGTGCTTGAGTTAGAACATATGAAATATCTGAACTGGCTAGGTTTGTTTAATGTCACGTTTGACTCCATGTTAGAAATCGAAATTAACTTTTTAGACCATTAAGAATTCTACGTGGCATTGATTTAACAATGTGCTGAAAGCATTCTTTAGAAATGTTGGCCCATATAGGTGGTTTGCAGTCTCGTGATTGTGTTGACGCGCGGAATGCAGATGGAGGGCAAGGAGTGAAGAGCGCAATGGACGAGATGGAGGAAAATCCGTACTGTACTACTTTAGACGCTATTACAAGAGAAATATATAAACAGAAAATCGAAACATATGTTGGACGTGATCCTTACGTTATGAAGAGGACCGATTTTCAACTGAATTGAGAGATTTGCCTGCCATCGAGGCTATAGATATCAGCAACTAACTCGCCTTGCAGACATACTTTGACTTTACAAAGTTCGCAAACTGGTACGTTACACGAACAGCCACATAAGTGTATTTAAACACCTGAATAATGTAATTATAAGCCGCATAAATAATGTATTAACTCACATTTGACGAAGTGATCACTGCACACACACACACAGGCATTTTCCCATTCGGCTCCTCCCGTCCGCAGACGTAGGTTTGCAAGGCATTTTTCCTGGTGTTTTTCTGTCAATTTCTTGTATTTTTCCCCCTTATGAACAACAACTTTGGGCACACGATAAAAACTCCTCGTGGTTTGATCGATTTGAGCAACCATAAACGACGCAAAACATAGGCATTTTGAGTGTGTTTAGTGCTTCCTAATGTAGAAAATCACTTCCTGCCCTCCATCTGCTGTCCGCGTCATGGCAACGCAGTGGTGTGACGTCACGTGAAAACAAGCTATTGATAGGATAGCATCTTGCAGTTGATGGAGATTTGTGGGATGCACATCCAGTCAAAATGAACTTTTTAGACCATTAAGAGAAGATATCATCGCCTTCATAAACAAGGAACAGGATTCTACTAAATGTTACACCGTTGGAAGCATAGATCCCAAGTTCAAAGTTAAACGAACAGTCGTTGCACTACCTGGACAGGGCTAAAAAAGAAAACTTTCAAAGGCTACAACTGGATATCTGAGAAGGCAGGTTCAGAAAAACCCTGTGACTGCAAAAGACCTGCAGCAAAACTTGGTGTCAACAGGCACTGAGGTTTCGGCTGCACAGTAAAGCGCGTAATAAACGCATACCCGAACTCCGAGACATGCACCACTACTGACCGAGAAGCAGATATTCAGATGGTAGAGTCAGAATTTGGCGTAAACAGAATGAGAACATGGATCCATCATGCCTTGTTACCACTGTGCAGGCTGGTGGTGGTGGTGTAATGGTGTGGGGGATGTTTTCTTGGCACACTTTAGGCCCCTTAGTGCCAATTGGTCATCGTTTAAATGCCACGGCCTACCTGAGCATTGTTTCTGACCATGTCCATCCCTTTATGGCCACCATGTACCCATCCTCAGCAATATTTTAAATATTTTTTAAAGAATGAAAGCAAGCATCAAATTGAAATCACAGTAAATACCTTTATATTGTTACAAAATATTATATTTGAAATAAATACTGTTCTTTTGAACTTTCTAGTCATCAAAGAATCCTGAAAAATAAAATGTATCAAGCAGCACAACTGTTTTCAACATTGATTATAATCATAAATGTTTCTTGAGCATCAAATCATCATATTAGAGTGATGAGATCTGTTGTCATTATTCAAACAGACGGCCAATGTGTTAACTTCTTAAACACAGTTCATCATGAAAGGTGGTTAGTTGGCTGCAGTGATGCTGAATTATTCTCTGTCTGAAATGCACTTTGTTTTGTCCTGTTTCAGCATTCGTCCAGCAGTAGCAGCAGTAGCAGCAGCAGCTCAGACTGAAGATCAGCTCCACTACAGCATTCATGCACTAACACACAACTTAAATGCCTCTTTTTCTAATGAAAACCATGTCTAATTTCCAGTGTCAGGGCAATTGAGAGACAATTGCGTAAACCAGGAGCAATAAAATAGATAATCACATTATGTTTTAAATATACCTATAATATACCTAAATTTCTGTGAATCTGAATGCTTTTCTCAATCAATTACTTTTTACAAGGCAAAAAATAAATAAATAAAATCACATAATGCTTCCAGGCATGAATCTGCAACCGTTTATTTAACTGTGAAATGTGATTGACCATCTGACTGGTTGTGAAGAGAATTCTCGTCAGTTAACGAAACTACTTTGCCATCATTTAGCATGTTTTAATTATTAACCTTTTACTGACAATTATACAATTATAGCCTAAATCAAACTTATTTAAAACTAAATGCTTGAATTTATCCATTTAGAAAAAATATGGTTGAGTTAACATTTTGTTTTGTAATAGTTAATAGACTCAATAATGCTTTTGCCGATTTTAAAAGATTTTTGAAACAATGCCCATAATTTATTTTTTTTTTTTTGTACATTTCTTTGTGCTTTTTACTAGTCTAAGCAATCAACATGTGTTGATCAAAGTTGTTCAGGAATTTATGAAGCTGAAGTAGATCTTGTTAACATATCCATGAGTAATAAAGTCACGTGATGCATTTCAGACTGTAGACTCTCTAAAGTGTGTGTGAGAAATCATTGTTGAACTCCGCTGCATAATTGCTGTTGGTTTATAATGAGGCACTTAATGTGTTTCAATAAATAATATATTAAAGTCCACCTGTGGTAAAAATCCAGCTTTTAATGTGTGTGTCTCTGTGGTGTTTTTAATATGTTTTAAACACACAATGTGTAAATTCATAAGTCGGCAGTATGTTCTCCTTAAAACTGCAGTGAACCAAAGACAGTCTCAAAAACACAGTTTGAAATCGCTGGTGTTTCTGACGTCACAAACTACCTTGTAACCAATCACATCAACGTGTGAACGTCAACCTGTGGATCGCTGAGCGAGTGAGTGGAGGCAGGGCTCATTTGCATATTCATGGAATGAGGCAAGGGTGTCGACATTCAAGATATTTTAAGGCATGAATAATTTTTTAGGTAGATGTTTTAATATTAATTTTTTGTGATCAAAGATGAGTTTTAAGTGATAAAATTATTGAGTAGAGGACTTGCTTGGAGTGCCTACCAGTTTTATCCATTTTTGTTTGCCAAATGTCTTTTAATTACATTGCAATTAGTCAACAATCATAAGATTTACAAGGTGTTGTTATTTTTAAATGTAATAATTATTTTAATTAAAGGGGTTATCATTTAATATTTCCATGGATTAAATGTAGGGCCTACATTCTACACATCTTTGCTTTCAATAAAACTTAGAGGTTAAATGACTTATGACATCTTCAATTAAAATATGGGCAAGAAAATATGTAAATATTCGTATATGGAAGTCATAGAATAATTTTACCTTTCAGATAAATCTCTTACTCTGATTTGTCTGGTTGTTCGATGTTCAACTTGCACTGAACTTCGTGACGCACTTCCGTTTGTAACCGGTTATGTTTACTTTCAATGTAGCCTACTATAGCAAAAAAATAGTCTCTGACTGTAGTCAATGAGTTGAACAAACGCCACCTAAAATCAATGTCTGCAATAATTTTTAAAATGTTTGATATTTTTATTGACAGTGGGTTTAAACTCATGAATCAATGGTTTTTACTTGTTTTTTACCTGATATCTTTTCAGTGCTTTTCAGAGGTTTAAAGAGTTGTAGTTAAAAGTCTCTTATTGGTCTGATTAGCCAAGCTTTCCATTAAACAAACATTATGTAATACAAGCTATTTAATACAATAACACATTATACTGACAGGCTGATGATACTACCCTTTTTCTAAAAAATTCAGACCAAATTCCCTTGGCTCTTAATACTATTAAACAGTTCTCCAAGGCATCTGGGCTCGATCTCAATGAGGCCAAATGTGAATTCATGGCAATCAACAGTTCTCTGTTTCCAGTATATGTAATATCCAAGTTAAAGAGACAATAACATACCTTGGAATAGTAATCTCTAAAAACGTCAAACTCAGACGTGATTTCAACTTTTTGCCCATCATAGAGAAAGCTAAAAAAAGATTTAATCAATGGTTTCAGAGAGATTTATCTCTGAAAGGAAGGATTCTTCTCTCCAAGGCGGAAGGCATCTCACGTTTGACATACGCAGCTATTTCATTAGACCTTGATAGAGTAATGTGTAAAAAGATTGATCAACTACTATGTAGTTTTGTACGGAAAAATAAGACACATTATATAAGAAAATCTGTGTTGTCCAATAGCATCAGTAAAGGTGGTCTTAATTTAGTTGATTTTGAAACTTTAAATAATACCTTTAAAATCATTTGGTTGAGAAATTACTTAGTGTTTGGAATAGTATGTCTTTTCTCAGGTGGGAGGTTTGAATTTTCTGTTGATGTGTATAACTTCAGCATTGAGAAGATCCCTGTTGCTCTCTCTAATTTCCACAAACAAGCACTATTAGCGTGGTCTTTGATTTTCAAACACAATTTTTCTCCAACCAATTACTTCATTTGGAATAATAAGAATATTTGTTATAAACATAAGTCCTTATTTTTTGAAAGCTGGTTTAAGAATGGGATCAATCGGATTAGCCAATTATTTAATCAGGATGGTTACTTATCAAAAATTTCTCACTCACTATAATATCCCTGTTACTCCAAAACAGTTTGCTTCTGTATTTGGTGCTATCCCCAGTGGTGTTATTATGCTATTTAAAGGCCAGTTTTAACAGTTTTTTGACAAGTCTTGAATTACCTCTCTCCCAGATACTGCAGACATGTAGCCTATATAGGCAAGATATGTTTTAAATCGACACTAAAAAATAATAGAGGTATATTTGTCTTCTTTTTCTCAATGATTGTGTTTCCACTCCTCATGTTGTTTCAAAATGGAATGCGTTAGTGGAAGATATTCCATGGAAGAAGGTTTGGACTCTCCCTAACAAGTAGCCTATTGGTAAATAAGGTCAAAGAGATTTCTTTTAAGCTTATTCGTCAATATTATCCTGTCAAAACGTTCATAGTGTCAAAATTTAAATTAAGTATAGATGTAAACTGTACTTTTTGTGATTCACAACCAGAGACTATCTTACATCTTTTACATCTTACAACTTTGGCAAGACATTTGCCAATTAATTGTAAACTATAGACTTTGTGCTTTACTTCAAAGATGTTCTGTTTGGGTTTTTCATTTTTGAGAAGCAATATGAGAATACTTTTTTCTTTGCAACTTAATTATTTTGCTTGCAATTTTATCCACAAATAAAACTATGAAATTTACCCCCAACTTTTCTCACTTTCAAGAAGATGTTAATATTTATATCAGAACCTTATCTACCTCTTGTAAGGCTACTAAAACTTTGAATGTATGTTCATTTTTTATGTGTTTGTATAAAAAAGATAATATATATATATATATATATATATATTCTATTTTTATGTATTTTATTTTTTTAGTTAGTTTTTTTTAATTTTCTGTTTAAGTTAATATATATATATATATATATATATATAACTTCAACAGAAGTTATATATATATATATATATATATATAACTTCAACAGAAGTTATATATATATATTAAAAATTCTGTTTAATAACTTCAACAGAAAATTTAAAAAAACTAACTAAAAAAATAAAATACATAAAAATAGAATATATATATATATATATATTCTATATGTATAATATATTACATTTTATATATATATATATATATATTCTATATGTATAATATATTACATTTTATATATATATATATATATATATATATATATATATGTATATATATAATAATAAAAAACATGTTATACTGACACTTCTTATGTTCATAGCATTTAATAGATTGCCAGCAGGAGTCGCCAGTGTGTCGCGTTCCGTTTCGAGCGATTCAAAACAGTGAATCCTTTGGCGAAGCAAATGATTCGCTTAGTTTTTTCCCGACGCTTCACACGCCTGTCCAGTTGGTGGCGGTAATGCTGGTTCTCTAAGCGCTAAAAGACCCCGATAGGTGGATTACGAAGAAGAAGTTTATTTTCTTGATGAACGCGATCCGCTCCTGGACAGTCAAGAAAGCCGTCAGTCACGTTTTAATAAACCAATACCACCTGATGAAGAAGATGACGAAGATCGGGACTCATAACGGCACCTTTCACTGTGATGAAGTTCTGGCGTGTTTCTTTCTGCGACAGCTGCCGGAGTATAAGGTGCACTCACATGAACCACGCTCGAGTCAGACTGCATTCAGCACTGTCTCTGAAGTCGCACGGTCAGATTAACGTTAGCAGAGAAATTATGGGGATACAGACACAAGATGTCTATGATACACAAGCATGCCAATCAGATTGTATCGGACCCTTCACGTGTGTTGTGTTTTTTATTTTCCTTATTTAGTCATTTTGTTTGTATTTAGTTTAGGGAAGTATGTTATGTTGAATGGATATTAATGTTTGAATGTTGGGTGTTTGTGGTGGGTTGATGTTGCAGCTCTTCTCTCATCTAGGACGAATTTCTCCCATTGGAGACTATAATAAAGTGCCTGACCTTACAGTTGTCTTTCCTCATTGTCAGGATGCTGAGATCGTGCGCAGCAGAGACTCCTCAGTCCTGGCCGACTGTGATGTTGTGGTGGATGTTGGAGGACAGTTTGATCCCAGTCGGCATCTCTACGATCATCACCAGAGGTACACGTTTCATTCAGTCATTTTTATAAAAAATGGTGGACATAGTTGTTTGTGCTGTGCACACTAGAAGTATTATTAATTGTAGGCAACAGTCATGAAAAAATCGTGAATATTTGATTGTTCATATATGTGTCACACATGCAGTAATATTAAAGGGTTACTTCACCAAAAAATTAAAATTCTGTTTTTAAATACTCGCCCTCATGTCATTCATCTTCAGAACACGAAGATGTTTTTTGATGAAATGTGAGCGCTTTCTGTTCCTCCATTGACTCCATCTGCCACTTTGACATTTCAAAACGTTCATAAAGAGATAATTCATACATCATCACATCCAAACACATCAGTTGTGGTAAATTAAAGCTGAGTTGAGCTTCTGTAAGAACCATAATCAAATGGATTAGTTTTATGAAAACTTTATAAAATCTCAGATTTTATCAAAGATATCTTCATTTGTGTTATGAAGATGAGCGAAAGTCTTACGGGTTTGGAACGACATGAGGGTGTCCGTGTAATGTAGTGTTACAAATGTATTAAAATGTTTAATTTAGATTCCAATACAATATTATTTTATATTGAGAAAGTTCATAAAGGATGAGATCAGGAAATCTCTGCAAACGGGAGGAGTTTCCAGTAGGGCTGCACGTTTTCAGGTTTTTCATTAAAGGAGTAGTTCACTTTTAAAAAAACTTTTGCTGATAATTTACTCACCCCCATGTCATCCAAAATGTTCACGTCATTTTTTCTTCAGTCGAAAAGAAATTAAGGTTTTTGATGAAAACATTGCAGGATTTTTCTCCATATAATGGACTTCAATGGGAACCAAATGGTTCAAGGTCCAAAAGACAGTTTCAGTGCAAACTAAGGGCTTTAAGCGATTCCAGACGATGAAAAAGATACGGGAAAAGATTCGAAAGTGAACTAACCCTTTAATGACAATTTTATTTTTGAGTGAAATTTTAAGGATGTAGTAGTAAAACAGGAAGAAAATTATCTTTTGATTTGGCCTGCGAGATGCGAGTGAGGATCAGCTGAATTCATCAGTGAGT